AAAAAAAAAAAAAAAAAAAAGATGGCTAGAATTCCAGGCCAAACTCTTGTGAACTAACCAACCCAATTGCAAGTTGATGGAGGAACGAGCAAATTTCTAGAATTAAATCCTTCTTCCAACCCGAATAGAATATCAAAAAAGAATAAAAGTAGTCTATTGACCTCGTTTTTTGTAAGACAATAGATGCCGTGCCCACTCTTCTTCATGCAAGCAAATTTCAACACGTTTGGACATGATATCTGGACAAAAAGAAGCGGTGTTTATGGACGTGAAAGATACTTTTATACCACGAGACAAAAAATATTTGAACACCGATAATATAATCAAAGGACATTGCACATAAACAAACAATCGCAAATAACTTAACCAAAATAAGAACAAACTAAACTCAAGCAAATAATATAGAACGAGTAAGAGAGAAAACCGAATGTATTTTTAATTATAGAGATTTGCTCTTTTTTTAGTGAATTATAAGTCGCTTATTTATAAAGTTCTAACCGACATGGTAACCGTTGGATTAGAACCACGTGGTCTCATCTTCTAGATCGAAACCTCACATCACTCCGTCTGTTATGCATTTAATTCATTGATAACGAGTCGCCGCCCTACATCTTAAGCTGATAAAGCTGACATTTATTAATATAAACATTACATCAATTATTCCTAGACATCGTCTACAGATCCCTTCAAAGACAGCAAGTACTTTAACCTTAAAGAGAGTTTCAGATGAGGAGGGTGCTTCGGCCTAAAAGAGCTTCGGGTAGAGATAGGGTTTCAACCATATAAGAGTTTCTGAACAATGAGATCAACTTCTTCTTTGACTTTTACATTTTGACCAATTGGGACTTTGTCAGATTTAACTCATGTCTCCACGTGGATTGCAGCATGGCTTCTACTAGGAACCTCAGTGGCTTGGCATAACATAGTTTATCTTTAATTTATTAAGAATAAAAACTTAATTTATTGTTTTTATTATCAATTCACATCTTATGTATATCTTAAATTCATTTTTATCAAGTTCTTATGATTTTATACATATAAACAACAATTTTGTAGATTTTAATAAAATTTGATAAAATGTGTAATTGAAAAATTATGGATCTCATGAAATGTGCAGTGAAAATTAATTATTGAATTTCACTTGAAAATTCTAGTAAATTTTATCTATACCAAAGATGAGTATGTTTCAAGGTTTCCTCCTATCAATGGTAATTGCACTACATCAAAAATAGTCATTTGCAACATTAAAAAGACACATTTGTTGACAAATGTTGCAAAAAGGGTATTTTTTTTAAATATACGCTACCCAAATTAACCTAACCTTATATTCGTTCCTCTCCAACCCACCACCTCTAGCCGCCAACCCTTCTCTAGCCGCCGACTATCGAGCAATTTTTAGCCACTTTCCGGCCTCTAAAACCACCTGACATTGGTACCAACATCACCTCCTCAACATACTCTACAATTCCCACCAAACATCTTCCAGTATCATCAACTCACGTGGCTGAAATCAGGAATCAAAACCAGCAAGCCGAAACTGCACAAACTGCCGGAATCACCTCCTCCAGCCACCACCTTGATCTCGGACCACTTCTGGTCAATTGTCCATGTCCAAGTAACTCTGAATATCACCTCAATTTGGTCCAAACAACTGTAGCTCGAACTGAATTAAACCCAGAATATGCGCCAGTCGTCATGTATGTTTGATTTTTTCTTCCAATTTGTTATTTTACTGAATTCTTTCAGAGTTTGTTGTGAAAGAATTTGATTGAAACTAAAGAAAATGAGTAAAGAAAGAGCAGCTGGCGGCGCTGTGAATTTGTTGTGGAATGCTGAAGCCACTGGTAGTGATGAATACCCTGTAGAAATTAGACTAATTACTGCTCCCAAGTATGTTCTTTATGCTCAAACAGTTGACAAGGTAATAAAAGATCCCAACATGAAATTTAAGATTTATATGAAAGATTTTGTACTTCCCTATGAGCTGAAAAGTCATTTTTATGAACTCAACGCCCAACATTATCTGTAATCATATTCAAATCTTGATTAATACATTACAATCAATTATATAGAGGTTTTGATATTAAGAAATTTCTAATCTTCGAGTTTCTGTTGAAGTGAGAATAAAAGATGGAACTTTTTTGGATGAAATTCAGCACTTCATGTATTGTCGTTCTTAGTTTAAATTTTTGCTCTATGCAGGTTAGCGCACCTGAGGATAATCTATCCACTGAAGAAATGTCACATTTGAATCTTGGCAATGAGGAGGTCTAGAGTGATGAAAACAGCGAAAATGAAGATAGATAGGCAAATGATACAATGTAGTTGTGGATTGGGAGAATTTTGATGGTGAATATGTCTTTTAGTATTTCTCAGTTTTAGCATTTCAAGAATTTCCTAAAATGTCATATGTTATCAACTATCATTTGCTTCATTCTTGAGTTCCTTGATTAAAAGGGAGTGGGATCTTCGACCAAATTGGTATATGTTATCAACTATCAATTTTTATGAAATTTCAAAATTTGTTCATAAGTTACATTTTCAATTTAAATTGTTGTTGTTAAAAAAAAAAAAAAAAAAAACCACCCTACGGCAACGTTTGGTAAACGTTGTGAAAGACGTTCTTTCGCAACATTTTCCAAACGTTGCCGTATCTCTACGGCAACGTTCAAAAAACGTTGCCGTATCTCTTTACTCTACGACAACACCTCGATTTGCAACACACGTCCAAACGTTGCCGTAGGCCTACGGCAAAGTTTTTTCAACGTTGCTGTAGGCTGTTTTTGTTGTAGTGTTGTAAATCTCTGTTCCAGCAATTCTCTACAACAATTCAAGTTAAATTTGTGGCACACTACATGACTCAACCCCTTTTTTGTTGGTACAAATAATCTCTTCACTTTGTATTATTTAGATTAAATAACGAATCCCGAAAATATTAACAAGATTAAATTTATGCAATGAATCAAACCATATAATCTTCCCCCGAAGAATGAGAATTAATTGTCATATTTAATTGAAGTAGGTAAATGGAGGATTCTCAATTAATACTAAATAGGATTAATTGCAACCTAAGTGGATGTTGGCCAGGAAAATGTAAGAAAAAGCACTTCAAAATTTCAACCTTTTACATTAATAATTTTCAGTCTTACCAACCAACTTAAGAGATAGAGGATTTTTGTCCGATTTCTTCCAACTTATATGTATTTTGACTTAATTCCTACAAACTTTTACTATAAAATGCTCATACTATCTCTTCAATACGTCAACACATCAAATTTACTCCTGTAAACTCCCATTAAAGAAGTACATTTACCATAGAGGAAAAAATAACATGGGTTTGGGAAATGCAGGAGCCCTTGCGATTCTTGTAGCCATATCCATGTTTAGCATTGGCATGGCCAACAAGCATTTCAGTGCAGATTGGAATGGAAACTGGAATCACACTGCAGGCAGCCATATCCATGTTTAGCATTGGAATGGCCAACAAGAATTTCAGTGCAGATTGGAATGGAAACTGGAATCACACTGCAGGCTGGCCTTATGGACACTGGAATGCAGATCAAACTTCGAAAAGAATAATTGTTGGCGGTTCCGAGAATTGGCATTTTGGGTTTAATTATACTGATTGGGCTATCAGAAATGGCCCCTTTTACTTGAACGACACACTTGGTATGTTGCCATTTCATTGTCGAGTTTACATTTTAAATAATGAGATGTCAGTTATTTAACACGTACAGAGTTAGATTATTGTCGAATAATAAATCCATGTTAAAAGGTTAAGTTCGTTAGGATGAATAAGTCGAGCTCTTATATCTTTATTCTTGTTTCCAATAGCTAAGTGACTGATACTGATCTGTTGCATGCATGCAGTATTCAAGTTTGATCCCCCAAACAACACCACATTTCCTCACAGTGTTTATCTGCTGCCCAATTTCTGGAGTTTCCAAAACTGTGATTTGAGAAGAGCACAGAAGATTGCACAAGTGACACAAGGAGGAGGAGAAGGTTTTGAGTTTGTGCTTAAGAGATGGCAGCCTTATTATTTTGCTTGTGGTGAACGCAACGGATTTCATTGCAAAAATGGGATGATGAAATTTTCCGTTTGGCCATTCTTCCGTCGGTATTAATGATAGAAAACAGCTTCATACATATACACACACGTGAACTTTCTTCAAGCTATAATTGTATTGCTCAATATCTATTTCATTTTTAATTTTTTTGAGGACTGGTTTGAATAATGTTTGAAAAAATAAAGGATAAATGTCTGTCTTAATTACATGTATTGAAGGTTTATGTTTTGTTTCCCTTTAAAGTTCGATCTTCTTCTATGAAACGAGTTATTTAGAGCATAACTGTTATCATGAGCTGTTACATTATTTGACGTGTTCATGCTTGTGTTTTATTTTCACTTCTGATACAAAGTCACAATCAGTGTGTCCTGTGATTAACAAGTGAATTACAGATTACAAAGAGAATCTAGAAAAGGGTTAGACGTAGGCACAGGGGTTTTTTTTGGCTTGGGGTTGAGAATTCTTAAGGCTTTGATGCCCTCTATTCCCACTTACACGATGAGTATATTCAGGGTTCCAGTCACTCGGTGTGCTGATATCCCATCTTTAATCAGAAGGTTCTCGTGGGGCGGAGATGATAAGAAGTGTGGAGTGGCATGGGTTGAGTGGTCAAAGTTATGTAGGCCAAAGGGTGCAGGTGGACTTGGATTGAGAGATTTGAAATTTTTTAACCAATTTCTTTTGGCTAAACAAAGGTGGGGGTATTTATTATTTCCCTTTTTTGTGGCGGCAAATGTGTTAAAAGGAAAATACTATATACAGGAAGAGTATTATTCGTGCTAGAATTCCTATTGGGGCTTCTTTTCTTTAAGAAGTGTAATTTGGGGACGTGAACTGCGACAAGCTGGAATGAGATGGCATGTGGAGGGATGGAGAGTTGATCCATGTCTACCCATGGTTTCCTAAGGTAGACTCTTTCGGATCAATTTATCCACAAAGAAATGAAGTGGGCTGGTGACTTTGGATGTCAAGAACAAGAAAAAGATTGAGAAATGAAGAGGAAGAGATAGGAGAAAGAGAACAAGAGGGAGGGAAAGAGAGAAGAAAGGGGAGAGAATATATCATTTCTTTTTCAATATAAAAGTCTACATAAAACAATGAATAAGCCGGTTCCCGTATAATCTAAACAAACCTATTTGAAAATGAAACTAAGTAAATAAACCCTAATTTAGTCAAACTAGATATCTATAAAACAATAATTTAATTTCATTCAAGCTTGGAAAATATAATAATTAACATAAACTAGAATTAAACTAATTGTTTGTGTACATTAAGTTTGACATTTCAAGATGTGGCAAAATCTATGACCTTGATTGTTTAAAATATTGTTAAAATCAATGTATAAAAAGTTGTCGACTCACATTAACATCAAGCTTGTTGTCAAATTGATGTACATATAGCAAAATTGAATAAACTAATATAAATTAAATACTTTTATTCTCCATCATATTTTCCCGATTGAGTAAACTCAATTTTAGCGAAATAGACTGCAACTTCATTTTCTAAGAAGATCGATCTTTGTTTGGACCAAATATCAGTACCGGACTTTTGACAACAACATATGATTGACTTCATACCAAGGGAAACGATTATCTAATAACTACATAACAAAGTATCGCTCACATGAAATAACTACATAACAAAGTAAACTCATTAATAATTTGGCATGAGTTTGAGGACAAATGGAATGTTTGGTTTATGTAAAAACACTATAGGTAAATCTTCAATTGTATCATGATCAATTGTGTCGAAGACAGGTTTGAGAGGAAAAAAAGGGGGCAATTGTCAAAGCTCTCATTCTCGTTATCAGAATAGTCAATAGGCTCAATAATAAAACCCTCATTTTCTTCTTCATGATAAGGATTGACATAATAAGACCTAGGAAGCGACTTATTGGACTTGGGTGGTAGGCCAAGTGTTGATATTCTTGGAGAAGATGAAATGATATGTCCCATACGTAGGCATGCCAGTAAGCTTCATTTAAGAATTGGGGTGCAGAAAGGTCATTACAAACAATTTTATGATTCAAACCATTGAGGAACTTATACAATGTGATGTGGGTTACAATACCTCTTCAAAGTGGGCTATACATTCGTTAATAATGGATGTACCTTACCTACAATGCAAAAAATATATATCTAGCCACTACAACAAAATTCAGCTTTTGCAACGTTTAAAAAACGTTGCTAAAACCTTTTTGCAACGTTTTTGCATGTGTTGCGGGCTTCAATGTTGCCGTAGACCATAAGGATACGGCAACGTTTATACACCGCTGCAAAAGCTAAATACAAACGTTACCATTTAGTTTTTGCAACGTTTAAAAAACGTTGCTGAAAGTCATTTGCAACGTTTTTTAAACGTTGACGTAGGTCTTTGGCAACGTTTTTGTCGTAGATCTATGACAACGTTTAAAAAATGTTGCCAAAGACTTACGGCAACATTTTAAAAATGTTGCCAAAGACCTTTGGCAACATTTTTTAAGCATTGCCGTAGGTTTTTGACAACGTTTTTTAAACGTTGCCGTAAGTCATATTATAGTTTTTTTTTTTTATAAACAATTTATTTAAATTGATCGACAAAATTGAAAATACTCCTTTTGAACAAATTTTAAAATTGCATAAAAATTGATAATTTCATTACAAATTTTTGAATCCATACACTTGAACATTAAAATCTAATACAACGTCACCTAAATAAAAAGGAGTTTCAAAATAAAATAAAATTAGGAATAAAATTTTGGACAAACAGCGGCAGACACTAGCAATAATACTTGACGAGCGTCTTTCAACATCAGTTTCTTTTGACATTTCTTCTGCCAATAACTTCTTTATTGGTGTTCAAGTGGCTCGTCTCGAAGTAATTCCTGGAAAAGTCGAAATCATAAGAAATCAAGTAGAAGTAGTAAACAAGTAAAAGTGGACATTATACTTCAGTGGAAATAAAAGAAAATTGAAGATAAAGTTTCTTAGACCATCACCTAAGAGTTTCAGCATGTACAGTGGTAAGTAATAATTGGAAGATTAGTGGGCTACAAACAATGAACAATTATTGACGGCCAGCTCTAAACAAGAGCCCCTTGTACAGCAATATATTGATTTTGCAAACCAAAGGATTCCAAAGCAACAATATAGTTAGGACTCTTCACTATTGCTCACCTGGATTTCTTACTCTTATAGCCTTGAATTCTACATTATTGGGGTCCTTCAAGTACACCCTACGAGGATCAATGCTTACAACAACCGCCTAATATTAAAGCAGAGGAATTCATTAAAGTGAGACTTTGACATTTTGGAAAGGGTATTGTAGAAGAAGTTGATGCATGCCAATTTGCTATTTTCTTAATCCTCAATGAAGATAAAGTACAGGATGAGAAATTAATATTTGGACCATTACTTTTTTTTCTTTATTATCAGTGACTATCTTCAAAGCAAGCAAATTAAACATATCTAATCAAGAAATTATAAGATAACATCCCTCACTATATCACTTGGAGGTATTGAATCCAAACAACAAAATATGAATTAATTACTCTGTAACATGAAGCCAACCAAATGAAGCCAAATCAAGAGCTATCTTTTTTTAGGTATCTCACACTCAAAGCCATGAAAGATTCACAAGGTAAGTCTTCTTTTTTCTCCTTGCTGAAAAACAGATATTCCATATTTGATGGGTATTTTCTTCTCTTCAATAACATAAATAAGTATATCCACAAGATTTACAAGACAGCAGTGCATAGCTGACCGGGAGCTCTAAAGACTAAGTAAAACACTATGTAGTTTAACAAGAGATTACTTTATGATAATCTAAACAAATAGTGAAGCCAATTGCATCTTGAAGGCTTGCCATTAGATAATGACAAGAAAATTACTTCCGAACTTCAAGCATCAATGGAGAAAAAATGTAAGCCAAGCAAATATTATTAAGCCTCAACATTAAAAATGACATAGAAGCAAAGCAGAAGGCCAACAGACTGCTTGAAATTTGACACCGATGGTAGTAAACTAGTATAGTGA